TATTTGTGAAAAGATTTATAACATAAATTATTAAATATTATAATATTTAATCATTTTTATTTATAGATTAAAATTTTCTAAAAAGCTGTTACAAATTATATTAATTTTTTTATATTTTCTTAAGTGAGAAATTCCTTTCCAAATGAAAAAAAATATACGAGCAGACATATTTGTATTATTCTTAAGAACAACGTACATTAGAATAATTATTATTTATTAAGAAAAAATAAGTTGATTCATGAAAAAGAATCTACGAGTGCGAATCAATCGAGATCTAAATAAACCGCTACATTCTCACGGATCATGCTCCTTTTTTTAAATAGTTATGTCGTGTGCACTGATGGTTTACTTCGATCGTTACCTCACGACACGCGTGATCGAGAATTACGGGTCACGATTCCGCTAGAAGGTAAATCCAGCCCGCACCCGTAAATTTCGCGCGCAGCTTGAGCGGATTTAACGATTTTCAGTAAAATTATGAGTTCGCACCTGATCAACGAATCGGCGAGATTTTGATGCATTATTAATCAATACGAGTGAAATCTCTTCTCTTTCCATCAAAACTTATAGCAGAAAATGTTCCGATAAAACGAATAAAATAAATGTATAAAATGTAATAAACGTATAAAATTTAGTATAAGTTTTCTATAAAAATGAACCGTTATAAATAATAGGAAAGAACATAACAGTTTTTATGGAAACTCATCAATATTCTTTTCTTCTTTCTAAATCATTATTATATGAAGAAACTTGAAATTATTTTTTCCTTGAATCTTTATTAAATCTTTAATTTAAGACTGAATAAGGAGAAGAGTAATTTTGCCAAATAAATCTTATTATATATAAGGATGACTTTAAAATAGGTCACTAAGCTTTAGGAGCTATATTCTTTGACTAATTTTTCCTTAGAAAAACTTTAATTAGACTAATTGTAAGTTATGCTTTTTCACGATTTTTTTTTATTTTTAACATTAAATATTCTTGAAGTCTATTTGATATTAAAGTAGAAATAAAATTGTTATATATTTTTTTTAATTTATTTTAATCGTAAAATATTGCTTATTTAAAATTTTTTATTTTTATTTTCTTATAACTCATAAATTGTTTAAATTTCACCATATTTTCTTAAAAATAAAAAAACCTATAAAAGTAATATACATAGTGAGTAATATTACAGATGGAAACATATGTGTATATATATGTTAAATATAATATTTGTATTACAAAAAATTTTTATACAATAAGACAATTTAAAATAATTATTTCCAAACCAGTCTCAATATCTATTAAAATATTAATGAAGAAGTACTCTGTTAGCTTTTGACAAGAAAAAAGTTGAAGTTAATAGACAGCAAATTCAAAGATTTAATAATATTTTGCTAGATATAAAGAACAGAAAAAACAGAGAAAAATGAAGAGAGCGAGAAGAAATGACCTAACTCTATATTGTTCATAATGATTCACAAAAGTATATTCGTAAGCATAAGTTATTATTTTATATTATTTTATAATATTTCTATACTATAATATTTCTCTTGCTTTCATTGAGACATGATGCTAAAAATGTTTCGAAATCGATGTTCCATTCGTTTCTTACACTCCAATTCGTGCCGTGAAGTGACTTGATCTTCCTTCAAGTACTCTCACAGCCAAGTACCGTCCTTTCCTCTTCGTAGTGCGAGCAATCGAGACGGTTGTAAGACGCCCTTCCGTCTTTTAATTAACGCGACAGCCGTTTTCGGTGCTAGTTTAATTAACCGAGTGAACTTCTCTGCGAAACGACCGAGTTCCAAGAATTAATAAACGCGAGTGTAATGTTTACAGGGAGTATAATAATTAATTTCTATAGTGACTAAGTTTCGCGGCACTGTCGAATGCTTCGTGAAACTTCATTCAGATGTATCAACAAGCGAAATTAATTGCCCGAATTAATAGTATCCGATATAGAAATTGAAACGCTTATTTCAACGTGAAGATTATGTATTTATATATTGTTATTAAAAAGCTTTGTATATAGCATAACTTCTATTTTTATTTTAATTAATTTTATTTTAGAACGATTTGGAAACAAGCTCTTTAAATTAAAGATTTCGACATATAAGTTAGACAGTCAAATTATAATAGCTAAAAGAGAAACTTGGAAATCTTAGTTAATATTTTCTTTTTTCTTTTTTAGTTAATATCTCGCGAATATAATTATATGACTCGCTACTTTCTAAATACTTTTATTAATAGCGCACTATAGAGAAATGTCTTGTGAAGAATACAATAAAACTTGCAAAAGAAACTAACTACTCGCACACAAACCACATTTATCGATCACTCTCGTTCGTTCCTTGGTGTAATTAAACATTTCGCGGTTAATTTCTTAACCTCGGCCAAGTTTGAAATTTCGCGATAAAATAAAAACTGTCAATTATACGTTAAATTATACTAATTATATATATTAATTTATATTAATATAAAAGTTTGAAATTTTGCGGTATATATAAAATAAAAAGTTTGAGGCGCGCAATTATATTAAAGCAGTTTATATTTAATTTAAACCGAGAAATTGGTAACACGTATATTCTGCTACTTGACACATTTGTAATCTGTCAAATGTACGGATCTTCGTAGAAAGAAACGGAAGACTGACGACCGAAAGGGAATTTGCGCAACGGAATTTTCTAGACACACAAAATTGGTTGGTATCTGGGTTAAGTCGTCACGGATCCTCCAGGTATATTTTCTTATATTCGTGTGCGTGCTCATCGAATAATCCGACATAATCTGTCACGAAATCGCTAAGCCTCGAGTAGCTCGAGCTTACGTGACGTCTCGAAAGCGTCTCGACGAGAGATGGCCGCGATATTAAATCCTAGCACAGGTGGATTTTATTCTATCGTGGTATACCAAAGGTATTTCTCGTGTACTTAGATCCCATTCCGGGGACGGCTCCAATAATATTTCCGTCAGTTTATATACTTCAGGAAGTGAGATTTGTCGTCGCCCTTGATGCGATTTCGTTCTTTGACTTCGAAAAACTTAATATCGTTGTATATTTACAGCAATTTTCATTATATGATCTTCACACCTGTAACTTGTATTGAATTTTTGTATATTGTGCTCTCATTCTCTTATTTAAAATTAAGCATTATATCGTTTGCTTCTTGTCGGTGAATTTACTTACGCTCGCCTAACTATCGCAATGTTCTTATTTTGTGTGCGAACTCTGCGGCTCGTTGAAAGTTTTACGGGTATTCAAGACGAACGCGTGTCTCCTCATATTTATGACAAGCGCCTTAATGCTCGGGCACGATGTGCCGACACGAACCCTCTTGCTACGGAGACTTCAGCGACTTACTCCTCTCGTTATACCGCTCGAAAGATAATTCTCGTCTTAAAGTGACGCATTATATCCCGCGACGTGTTTAACGATGCGCCTTATACTCGTTTCGTTCCGGAGACGGTTCGTTGCGCTTGCGTTAGTTCTTATGAAGGATTGTTTAAAAAGACCCAAGTGCTTGGGCCATACTTGTGAGTCAAAATATTTTGCTAAACGTTCTTTATGTGATCCGATACCTTTCCTCCTGATATTTCAACAATATTATGAAAAAGTTAATAAAGAAACTCAATTTTTCCTTGCATGATCTTTTACATATTTTTATATTTTATTTGTCACCTATGAATGCATAATATTTGTCGAAATTTGATGATTTGAAATATATTATTTTTTATGTAAGAGAGTTAATCTATGGATTTTCGTATGGATTTTATTTTTTAAAAATGTTTTAAATCAAATATTTATTAAATACACACATATAATAAATGGAGTTGAAAATGATGATAAAATTTCTGCTGAAATCTCATGGTATACATATTTCTTTAATGGAAAAGAAGAGTCAATCCTACCTAGCCTAGCGAACGAAAGTTACGCTACGAGGTACCTCTAAGGATTTATCCGCCAGGGATGTGCTCGACAACGAACGTTCTTAAACTACTGTTAAAAGTCGTACTTACTTTTACCTCCGTGAATGAAACTTTATTGTCTCGTCCGCAATTTATTCGTTCGCAACAACTTGGCAATCAACGAATTTAGCATTTAGCTCTGCGCAAAGTAAAAAGTTAATGTTGAAAGTTTTAGGTGAAAATAAAAATGTTAAACGACCATCTTTTTTATCTGTAGTCCTCATTTGAATTGCGCATTTGGACTTGAAATAACACCTAGAAGATAATATCTCGCGTCAAAACGCAGAGGCTCGAAAATCAATTCCTCGTACGAGTATACGAAAGCTGGTAGGAAATTACGAGGATCTCTCATAAGTCTAGGTGGAAATGAATTTCCGAAATCGATTGTCAATGTCGCGCTGTCTATCACGCGTCCTGATTTCCTTCCCCGTGTCGAAAAACGAATAGCGTGCGAGAAATTCATCGAAATGTGGCGAGAGACAAATTTGGTAGAAAAGAACGAATATTGAAAACGTTGTTCGTGCCAAAATAAATTCTTCGATTTGGCAACTTTCTCGCGTCATTAAACTAATGTTACGATGCAAACAGAAAATAAGAAAATCCAAATTTTCAATTTGCAAGATGTAATCACTCTCTCATGACGTTTTATTATACATTAATGTTAAATACATTGCATGTTACTTTATCAAGTAAAATCTTTTTTTTAGCACAAACAACGATAATAATCATTACAAAATGAATCAAAGATGCCGACTGATTTTGAAAATACTGTATGTAACTATATAGGTAAAATACATATTTTCTATTTTGGTTGGATCCATATGCTGAGAGATGAATGTTATTATGCGTATATATATAAATAAGAGCAATTAGTACTTTTCTGAGATAAAACTGGCACCAAGACAAGAAAAAAGCACCAATGAGTAAATAAGTCGCGCAATCGTGCGACGCCGATCATTCTAAAATCAATTCTCAATGTTGCTGACCCTCGTGCGCCCACACGTGGTCGAACTTGGGCCAACGCATGCTGTTGGACTACCATTATAAAGAAGGCCGGAACGACGATAAACATGAGGCGACTCCACGGCCTTGTGGTCACCTTCACCAGCCCAGAGTCCCACCTGGTAAGCCTCAGTATCACAAGCTTGAAAAAAAAAATCAGCAAGTGAAAGAGATGAAGCTGAGAGCTCAGCTCGCGAGCTCTCATTTGATTGGCCCGGACACGCACCTGTATATACCTAATTGGCTAACTTTCACGCGAAAAATTAGCTTCTTAGAGAGGAATTATCACCAGAGCACTTTCTTTTTCTTCTTCTTCTTCTTCTCTTTATCTTCTCTTCATTTCTTCTTAATTTTTCTTTTTATTTTTTTCCTTTTCTTTTTAATTTTCTTTAATCAGTCTTTAAAACGGATGATATTGGAATAACGAAAGATCAAAATTTTCAGATATTATGAGATTTTTCTTTTAAGATAAATATATGTGTGTTCGAATATATTATGATCATTTTGATAATAAGATTACTTTTCTTTTGTTATTATGCATGTTAATTCATAAATAAAACTATTGTTTAAACGAGCATTAACTTGCTTTCCAACTTAATTGTTTCTTGTAACGATAATGATGTTTCCTTTATAAAGAAAACTTATATATCATAACTGCGCAGTCTAAAAATAATGATTTATGTTTAAACATTCTTAATATATTATTGCAATTATTGCATTCACAAAATATTAAGTGAATAAATTTAAATATAGAAATGTTGTGAATTTATTGCAAATACATGCACGTATAATATATGTGAAGAAGTCATGTATAATATATTCGAACGATCGAATGTTCCAATATTTGAATACATATATATATATATATATATATATATATATATATATGCATCTATTTATGACTCTTATCCTCTTTCTACGTCCAACTTTATTATTTCTTTCTACTCTTCTTTTTATTCCTCTATCGAAAAGACATGTAGCTTGTAGAAAGAATTATTGACATGAAACTTTTTGCTGAATATGTAAAAATCTTCATAACCAACGGAGAGAAAAATTTTAATGTCTAAAGAATCGCGCTATTATATATATTATATCTATTGTCTAAGATATTTGATAGGCAATTTATCTCTAAATAATAATTTTAAAAAATTTCCATATAAAATATAAATTTTTTTCATTTGACATTATTACACAATTACTTCTGAAAAACAAATCTGAATTTACAGAAGAAGAATAAAAGAAAAGAACTTGATTTTTGAATTAATTGACAGCGTAATTTACCAAGCGTTTATCCTCGTCAATAATTGTATCTATAATTCTTTCTATAAGTGCTTTCTTGCGAATGGTTAGGAGATGAATCACAATATGTACATAGTTCAAGCGTGAATAATATATACGCACACGACACTTAAGCTAGCTCTAGGTACACCACTGATCATGGCACATGCACGCAATAATCTACGCTCCTCTCACTATCATCATCTCTATCATCGTCGCGATTCAATATATATCTTTATTATTGTAAAATATTTAATATAAGAGAGATTCAGACTTAAATCAAAATCAATTTTTATTATTCCATCAAAAACTCTATTATTTTTTTAACAGCCAAAGATAATTGACTATTACTGCATTCATCTTATTTACAAAAAAATAACAAAAGAAACTCACGCAAGTTTATTAAAGTTTATTATTAATTTTGACTCGGACAATCTATTTAATTTGTTTACTTCGAAATGACTGTGAGCGCGATTAATGAAATAAAATAATTTCTCTCGGCGAATACTTTAATTTTTGGCAGATTGAAGCTCGTTGTGCTTCTTGGTTTTAATTGATCGTTAATAGCGATCATTTCATCAAATCATCCTCTCTGCCTCACGGAATGAATGATCAATGAGCGTCTGACAATTGCCTTTAGCTCGAGCACCAAGCTGCATGAGGAAAGGAGAACGAACGAAATGCACCCGCCTGCATGTGACGCCAAAAATTACGTCTAATTGTATTTTCAGGACGAAAGAGCAGATCGACGCCGATTGGACCCACTGTTACTAGTTATGCTGAAACATATTTGTTTCAAGAGAAACATGTACCAAGAAGCAGATTTAATGAAATCAAGTGTTTTATCATTTTTATTGAGATGTCACGAACCTCTTATTGTTAATCAATGAAAGATTTCTTCTTTTAAGAAAATATCTATATTTTTTTAATTGTGAAACATTCTTATATCGTATATCAAAAAATTCATAAAATGCTTGCTTCAAAATAGCTTCGATCGTATTATGTAACATATATAACTCAAATTAGATTTAAAAAAAATACAGAAAACTCTATATTATATATGTTATTACAAGCTTCATACTGTACAACATTTGCTTGCAATTAAATCGCATGATTATTAATTATTTTTTACTAATCATATTTATAATTATTACAATGTGATATATAATTATATATATTTTACTTATATTTAATAATAATATATATGTATAAATATCTGTGTATGTACAATAAAAACAATTTTTTTTATTTTTTTCTTCAGAGACTTATATAAGTACTTGAACAAGTACAATTATAAACAAAAACTATCTATACATCAGTTACATTTTATAATCGTGTATGCGATTTTCATTGTAACGTAATAAAAATTAATGAATATAAGCTTATGATAATAATGCTATAAAAAAAAATATGCACAAAAATATTAGTTGCAAACATACAAGATTATTGCACTTATAAAAAATTTAATTAATAAATATCAAAATTTAATTAATAAATACGTTTCAATAAAAATGTATGCAAACACATGGTATGAGACAAAATATTTAAAAAAAATTTATTACGTAAATAGTTATTAATAAAATTAAATATTGATCTTGAAAAAAATCTTCGATATAATACATTTTTAAATCTGCTTCTAAATAATTCAAATACTGTGTTTGCAGTATTAACAATCACTGTTTCAGCATTGCTTAGCAACAATGGGAAAAGCGCGTTACGTTATCGATGCATCGATACATCCATCGAAGACATATAAACAAAAAGAAAGAAAAAAAAAAAAGAGAGAGAGAGAGAGAGAGAATAAGAGAGGGAGAAAATAACAGAGAAAAAGAGAGAAAGAGAGAGAGAGAGTGAGAGAGAGAGAGAGAGAGAGAGAGAAAGAGAGAGAGAGAGAGAGGTTTCAAATCGCTCGAAATATGCCATAATCAATAATCAATTTCAGAATCAATCCCAGCCCGTCTCACAGTCGTTTCACGCGATACAGATGAAACCCAACATACACAATACCTATACCTGACACACACATACGTGTACACGTTCTATTTTGTTTCTACTATTTCGCGAGTATAAGATAGTCCTAAATTCTCGTCTACTAAGCCTTGACACATATATATATATATATATATATATATATATATATATATATATATATATATATATATATCTATACACCGCGCCTAACCACGATACCAATATCGTAACTCTTGCGCAGCTGCAACACGGTGGGGCTCTGGATAAGAAAACACTTGGAATAACTTTGAATATATATTTCTCGATTACTCCGTGCCAAAAGTTCCTTCACCTCCCCCTCCTACCCTCCTCATTCCGGCAACAACCCCCCAGAGTACTTATCTTCTACCCTTTATCTTTCCTCCGAGGTTTCGTTTTAATTTACGACGTATGTTTCGCGTTTGTTTCATCAATATGCTTTTAGGTTTTTCGAACGAACTCTTTTTTTCTTGAAATTAGACCTTTTAGACCAACATTTTTATTTCGGCAAATTTTCTTCTCGCTATTTTTACTTGCAATTATATTTCTACACTGAATAAACTCAGACTAAAAATAATTTAAAGACATCTCGATATGTTAAGAAAAAAAAATAATTCTAAATTAACCAGTTATTATTTTAATATTTTGCTCATTAAAATGTAGATACTTTAATCTCTATTATCATATATATATGTAATAAAGTGGAGAACAAACATTTAAATGTAAATTTGCTTAGTACTCGTACAAGTAAATTACTTTCTTCTCATCAGATTAAGGAAGATCTGAATGTTCATTTAGAAAAATTTGAATATTTTGTGTAGCTTTGAAAAGTCATAGTTTAAAAAAAATAACTCAAAATAAAATATAATTATATAAATAGATAAAACTATTTAAATACAATTTTTGCATATAAAGACCAGATCTATATATGTCACATATTTTTTGTAAAAATCATTCTTGATATTTCTACATTGAATAGCTAATTTTGATTACATTATTATAATAAAAACGCCCCACATTGTAGTTATCATCGATTCAGTTTTTATAATGATGCTTATTATTAAATTATAAAAGTATAAAAGATCTTTTGCGTACATCGAAATGTCTCTAAACTTGATTAAAAATGTATTTCAACGTCATGACTCATCAACATTTATATCTTCAAACAATGTACGTCCACTTCAAGCAATCTATAATTCAGGGCTCTATGTAAACTTTTAACTTAGCAGAGGAAATTTACTTGTCGAATTTACTTCTCGAAAATTCCTGTCCAAAGTTTTATGAAACCCGCCTTGTTTTTCCCTTCGTCCATTCTTTTCGAGTTTTCTACGATGTATTTCAGGATACTTGATCGCTCGCACGGATCTGCTCTTCATCATCGATGGAGTTTGCAGGTGAGAGATCATTTAATCGATCTTTTGAGGCGGGATACGAGCCCCCGAGTACGCGTGAACACTTGACTTTTAACAAAGCCACTGTGTTACGGAGCATGACACAGTTACTGCGGTTGTAAGCCGGGCTATAACGCTCCGCGCATCAGGCTTGGAGTAGCTTGCACAGGAAGCAGCTTGCGGTTTCTAAACTCTGGATAGCTTTGCTCGAAGCGCGACAGGCAAACACAGACGCGAATTAATATGTACAAAGGCTGTCACATGCGATGTTTAAAATAGCGGTTAATTCAGCCGCCGATTGCCGATTGTAAATCAAAAATAGCATTTTTAGAAAAATTATTTGTTATTGCTTGTATTCAGCACATGTCATTTCGATTAAGCGCTTTTCAAGCTACATCTAGATTGCTTTTTCTCCAAGAAAACTACTAGTCCGCGGAATAATATTCATTTTTTATGAAAAAAGA